CTCTGGTGCCCTGTCACACAGGACGATGAGGCGAAGAACACAGGGGGGGTCTCTCTGTGCCCTGTCACACACGATGAGGAGAAAAACACAGACGTCCATGGGGAGACACTGGAAGCGTGCGTTGCACACACCAACATGAAATACTCTCTTACAAATCTGGAACGCGGTCATTCTTAGATGTATCGATACTAATAAATTTAGGTATCGTAAAGTTTTTAATTTCCGAGTACTTTTGAAGTATCGGTCCACCGTGCAACACTAATTTGTTGTATTTTCCTCTAAAAATAGTGGAGTTAATTTGGAATTATTCAGCCTTTGAGCAAGCAGAAACTAATGCTCAAATGCAGACGGGATTAATATGCATGAACCCAGCAGCTCATCAATCCTTAGTGCGGTTTATATTGTAATTAGTATTAATTCGTAGTAGTATTATTGATAGTTTTTTTACATTTCAAACTTGTAATTGATTTGAATTATTATTGTGTGATGTTCTTCAGTACAGTTGCACTATTTAAATATTATCTGCACTTTTACAGAAGAAACATATGCAACTTTTAAATTTCTACAACGGCTGGTATTTGGATTTTTAATTCTTTTATGTAATTGGTATATAATAAGGAGCCTATTTGATGATAGGTACGTTACACTTTAGATTAGATCAATGTTTGTGTTTCTGAGGCTCTCAAGAATGTATGCAGCCTTCACTTGTAGCCAAAGACAGGTGAATGATACTATAATTTATATCGTCATTGATATCGTTATTGCAATAAATACCAGAAAATATTGTGATATATTTTTAAGTCCATATCACCCGTCCCTATTACGCAGCAAGTTTGAGCTTCAGCAAGAACCAATGAGGTTTGTTCTCACACATCAAGCAGGTTTGGTTGAGCTTCTATTTATGTTCGCTGATCAATGTTTTTATACGAATAAAAGCCTAAATAAAATCTGTTCATCATATAAAGCGATCGAGTCTCTTCAGAAATTTTTTACTAAACCGCTCAATTCATACAGAATAGTTTTACGATTTCCTTATGAACTTTTTGAAGCGACAATTTGGTAGTTGTGCAACTGTCAATGGAGAGACAGTAAGCTCTCAGATTTCATCAAAAAGATCTTCATTTGTGTAGGGTGAGCAAGTCATGGTAATGACAGAATTGTCATTTTGGGGGGAACTGTCCCTTTAACAGTAAATTTGAGATGTGTTGTTTTTACTCACAATGATGCAACCCTCTATCCGCATGTTGACCTGTTCGTAGAGCCATACCTGGATTCGAGAACGCTGCAGGGAAGGGAAAACCTGTTAGTAACTAAATTACATTTAGTCTTCCTGGAGTATCATGTGGTAAAATGTCTTCCATATGGAAGCATGTTTATGCCACACAACAAAACATAAAATAGGTAATTGCAACTTTTTTATCTCGCAATTTAGAATTACAAGGGAAAAACCTCACAATTACCTTTATTATTTTATAATTACGTGGAGTAAACAAGTTTCTGTATGAAAGACACTATTTCCAAAGAACAAAACAATTATAATTATAGTCAATCCATCATACAACATATGAGGTGGATTTAAATATATCGCTGCAGGTAACGTTAATGTTGTCCAAACAAAACAAAAAAAGTGTCAATGCTTCACAAATAATTATAATAATAATGAAAAATATGGAAGAGAAAACAAAAAAACATTTTCCAAATATAGATAGATAGATAGATAGATAGACAGACAGAGAGAGAGAAAGAAAGAGAGAGAGAGAGAGAGAGAGAGAGAGAGAGAGAGAGAGAGAGAGAGAGAGAGAGAGAGAGAGAGAGAGAGAGAGAGACATTTTAAATTTTATGTTACATAGGGAAAGGTCAAATTAAATTTGAACTTACATTCTGTAGATACCTGAAAATGAGGTTCTGATGGTGCCATTAAGGAAACAAACAAATATAAACATAATGACATTATACTGTCATCCAAAAATATTAATCTAATAATTTTAAAAGCATTTTTCATTCATTTGAAACCGATCAACAGGACCAACACAACACTAATGCTAACATCTCATACATTGATCAAATATTCTGCATTCTTAAAGCCAGATACATTTATATAACACTTAATTCAATTTAAAATTATCAATATTATAAAAATCGAAATTTATCAATACAAAGGAAAGAAGCCGATGCAGTTCTGCGGTCTGAAAGGATACAATGGGCTGCACCATAACCTTCTGAACCTTCTGTCCTTGTCCTCTGTACGCCATTCTTCCCAATAATATTCAGATATAATTAGAAAAGGTGATCAATGTACAATTAAACGTAATTTTTTTTGGCGCGGCAACGAAAATCTCACGTTGGTTGATGGTGTTTCAATGGCGGCGCACTTCCGGAAACGGAATGACGCACACAAAATGAGTCGTTGATTATATGTAACGCTGCTTGTGGCCAGGAGAGACATTACAGACCGGTGGTTTCAAATCTATGATGCTTAATACATTGCAATAATAATTATTTAAAACACACACACACACACACACACACACACACACACACACACACACACACACACACACACACACACACACACACACACACAAATATATAAATATATCCGGTTGTGCAATAATACACAATTTCCACCATCTTAAATCCGCTTTTGCTTTAATTGTTTAATTTTAAATGTCGCTACGTTGTGACATATACATTTTAACATTAACTAAAATACAACTATTTCATGTAACATCTTAATATATCAAGACTCTGTTGATACTGCTTGAAATGTAATGTTAACAGTTAAAAAAAAGACATTTTGACGTATGCATTTTGTATCGTTTTCAGGACGTAGTACACAGTGACGTTATACACGTATTTCCGCTCGGTCACTGTGTCAATTGTTGTTGTTTTAAAAGGCGCTCAGTGGTGAGTGGTGAGTTTTGCATCGACCCATATGCAAACACCCGTGACTTTTTCAATATAAGACCATTTTTCTATTTATATTTAGAGTACATATTTATAGAAATAATTATTCTTTATAGTTAAATTAAAGGTGATTTCCTTAAGTTATATCAGCTAAGGTTTTGTAACGGTATCTGTAGCCTGGCTAACAATTAGCCTAGCTTAGATTGTTGTGAACATTGACATTTATATTATTAAAACTCCCTATACTTTTGCTTAGATGAAAAAAAGGTCACAAAGCTTTAAATGAGTAATTATATATATTGTTTTTGTTCAAGTAACTCAGCACAATCCATGATCTCTAGTGATATTGAAATATATTTGTAATGCCTTTAATATATTTTTCGTTCATTCATCTATGTATATATGTATTATGTATGTATTATGTATTCATGAACTGTATACATCATTAAAAAATACCATTGCTTTACAGTTGACACAGATGATTTATCTATATTTCTAGCAGTTGCTCTGTGTGAATATTTTTCAGCAATTAAACTGGAAAATAATTGTGTGCTTTTTTTCTGATAATTGTTGCATTTGGTCAGTATTATTAGGCTTCATATATTATTATTATTATTATTATTAACTTCATATATTTTTGGTTCATGAAACTGTTCTGTGTTCAGAACTGAATAGGTACAGGATGCTACGTCTGCGGTGCAAAGCCAAAAACGGGACCCATCTGATGCAGGGCCTTACACACCAATCTTGCGTTCAGGAGCTTAAAGATAAGATTGAGGAGCTAACAGGGATACCATGTGATGTACAGAAGATCATGGTAGGCTATCCACCGTCCAGTCTGGATCTACGCGATGGGGAAGCCCACCTCAAAGACTACCCTATCAAATCAGGTTTGACTTGTCCTTGTTTATAAATCCAATCATGCACATTTGTTCATGCTGAGTTTCCAATGTTGGTCATTGATATTTTTACTGTTCCAGGAGACACTTTGATTGTAGAGGAGGAGAAGAACAAACCCAAACCCCAAGTGCAAGCCACTGTGACCAAAGGGCCCAGTTTTGACCTGGCTCCTGTTCTAGAGCGCCGCGTCGTCCCTGCCGACAACTCTTGTCTGTTTACCAGTGTGCACTTCGTTATGGAAGGGGGTGTGTACGACCCAGCCTGTGCGCCTGAAATGCGTGGGCTCATCGCACAAATAGTAGCCAGTGACCCCACTGCGTACTCGGAGGCTGTATTGGGCAAGACTAACGACGACTATTGTGCCTGGATCCGTCGAGATGACACGTGGGGAGGCGCCATTGAGGTTTCAATCCTCTCTAAGTTCTTCCAGTGTGAGATTTGCGTCGTCGACACTCAGACTGTGCGCGTCGACCGCTTCGGCGAGGATGTGGGTTACACCAAACGAGTGCTGCTTATTTATGATGGTATTCATTATGACCCGCTCCAAAAGGTGATGCCCAGTTCAGATGTTCCCGCACAGACTGTGTTCTCCACCACCGATGACATCATTTTGGCCCAGGCGCTGGAGCTCGCGGACGAGGCGCGGAGGAAACGCCAGTTCACGGACGTCAACCGCTTCGCTCTGCGCTGCATGGTGTGCCAGACTGGCCTGGTGGGGCAGAAAGAAGCAAGGGAGCATGCGAAGGAGACCGGGCACACCAACTTTGGGGAGGTGTGACGCTCTCTTAGCTCCATCCTTGAAATCACCCCCACTTTTGCCGCGTCACTGCCACGCCACCTGACATGGTACCCGCTCTTTCACTGCTGCCTGTTCCAGCTTGGTTCAGTCCTCTACCTCACATTGTCTAGCGGCTTCAAGAGACTTTTATGTGACGAGTTTTGATCCTGAGAATTCAGTGTTCTTTCAACTTTGGTTTACTCTCGAGGTTGAAGTATTAAATCGTGCTCGTGCTTTTGAGTCTGTTGCCTGATATGATGACAAAGCCGTCTCTTCAAACCAAATTTTACAGGGATTCTCCACTGATTTAAAACCTCCAGTTTGTTACAATGATTATAACACTAGTATTAGTGTGAATCTCGTGAAACACATCCAGGTCATATTTCTTTCTAAAATCAAAGAAGATTTTTTTTATTGTGTATATATATACACACAAATATATCTTATGACACCAATCACCATTAATATTTTTTTTTAAATTGCATTGTGATTTTATTTTTATGACACCTAGGTACATTACCCCACTAAATTCTAATTTGATATTATTTATATTTTAAATTATCTATATATCATAGTATTGATTGTTGTACTGCTTTGCATTTACACTGATTAAATTCATTTTATTACAGTAATTTTTAAATGTAAACTTAAAATTATTGTATACCATTTAATATTACATTAAATTATTTTTTAATGGTCGTAAAATCGTTTTCTTTATGATAAATATAACTAAACGTAACTACTTCTTTTAATTTTGTTGTCAAATATGACCTAGACATGTTTTCGTGAGATTCGCCCATGACCTCATGTTAACACTTTTCTGTTGTCTGCAGCTCAAAGATGTCCTGAAGAGATGTGTGAGTAACAACCGTTTGACAATGCTAGCTAAACTCTAAGTAGTATCTAACAACTAATGAAACTTTTAATGGGTTATTATTGTATAAGGCATAATAATTGTTCTTTTTTTAACTAATGAATCATATATGTTAATATTTCCAGACATAAAGTGCTTCTGGATAGTATTTCAAAACTATGGAACACAGCTAAAGACATGCCTTTCATGATGATTTAAACATGGCATTACTGTATTTATATTATCTGTCTTTTTAAGGTCATACGCACAGCTTCTGAACAATCGATGGCACTACATTAAGTCTTATGTTCACTGGCTCCATTGTACCTGTTACTTGAAATAGTCACAGATCAACTGTGTTCCTGAATCCTCAGTATGGTTTTTACACATTTTGAGTAAGCTAGTTAGCTGGAAAGAGTGGATTTTAAATTGAAGTGGACAATAATGGTGCTGATAGTAGAATCTCACTGAACTACTTTGTGAATCTGTAGATTTTGGGCACTTGTGTAATTTCTGCAAATGACCACACATGATTGTTTTATGCAAATGTGTTTATTCTCTCTCAAGTGACTGACATATTGTTTGGAAGAGTGATTGTAGTGACTTTCGTTTTGCATTTTAAGTGGAGAAATATGTCATATTGAACTTTTTCCTTCTCACAGGGACGATATCAGAGGTTTAGAAACACGTTTAGTGTAGCAAAGCATCTTAGTATTAGAGAGTGTGGATGAACTTTAGAGAGAAGACATCTTGTAAGGCCTGATGACGATGTACCTTCTCAGTATTTTTAAGTCAGGTACTATCCACACTGTTGTTTACTTGTTTGCAGCCTTTTTTTGAAGAAGAAGAAATGGTGCCATTGCAAGGCCAAAGGACTTTTTTTATTTTGCAGTGATTTTTCTAAATGGCCGTGATCAGTGTTTTACCTACTCTAAGGTAACTTTGAGTGAGAAACTGCATGTCCAACACTCATTGCTACAAAATCACTGGTTATACTGGGTTAATGATAAATAAACTTGAATTGATCTATATAAATATTGTGTGGTTGTCAGCTGTATGTTTTTTGTGCCTAAATCTTAACTAATTAGTGGTGTTTACTAAGGAAAGCATCACTAATGGGCTACAATTGCCAACACTGATTTGTACAAACCTAACCGTAATTATTTTATTTTGCCAAGCAATTCATAATTCCTATTGAAACAGGAAACCCAATGTTGACCTCATAAGGTCTTGAATGGCCTCACAACCATAGATATCCATAATAAAGGCTAGATGTCTTACGGCGGAGTCTCTATCGTCATCACCGGCGGCCATCTTGTCACAGGCAAGCTTTCTGGCGGGCTCTGTGGTACCTGATGTAAGATGAGTGATCAGCACGAACACAATTACTCTTTATCTCGTTGAAATCTTGACGGATTTACAAACGGTTTGGTTTCTTACAAACGTTATTAACGTGGCTATAATTCTGGATGATTATTTATTTAACTTTTACACTTATTATTCATACGTATGCAGTGTCATAACTACATCTCTGACGTTTATAACAACCAAACCGTTTGAAAATCGGTAGAAAAATTGAGTAAGTTATGGTTATTTAAAAAGTACATGCACCATTAAAACACAATGTTACGAGTGAGCGAGCTGCCTGTGACAAGATGGCCGCCAGGTGACGTCGACCTCCATTGGCCAGCAGCGCGGACGAGACATCTAGCCTTTATTATGGATATCTATGCTCACAACCACCTAGCAACATGTAAATTAAACAGTCGTTTATCAACCATTGTGGTCAGCCAACCTACTGCATTATGGCGCCAAGTTTTGTGCAGGCACACCACTCGATGTTCTTTAGAAATGTAAAAATCTGGTTTGCATATGCCTTTTAACATTTATTCCTTAAACTAGTATTTTATATAACTAGAAATTATTAGATAGCTCTACAAATTGTTACTAGTAAGAATAGAATTGTAGAGCTCTTTTATTTAATTCTTACTAGTAACAATTACGAGTAACGCTGGGAACATTGTAGGCTAAAACGGCTTGCCATATAACTAACTTATAGGTGATCCTGTATCTCATTCATTAGGTAGTAACTTATTCCTTAGTGAGTAAATGGTGAGTAATTTAATATATTTTAGTCACTACTGGAATAAGTAACGTTAGGCCTATTATTAGTATCTAATAACTAGTCACGATTGGACCAGGAGCATAAAAATGGATAAATAAATAAATGTTAAAACCTCTCAATAGTCTGTATATAGATGGTGTGAAAACATAATGAATCCCAGTCAGTGACACAGGATCAAATCAGTTTCAGTTGACGGGGATTAAACTAATGTTATTTTAAGAAACCCCTAATAACGCGATTAACTAGGATTTGCAGGTGATCCTCTTGACACTTTCAGTCATCATGTGTTTGTCATTACAGACGTGATAGAAGTCGTATATGTAAATAAGTGACGCATCTTTTTTTCCCCCGCCGTCCATAAAGATTTTGATTTTGAGACGAACGTTCGTTTTATTGTCTACACTCACCGGCCTGTTCTCTAATTGGCTGCTGCAGGAGAAAACGAAAATGATTGGTTGAAGATTTCACTATTTACAGTACTGGCGTACAGTACCTCACAGTGAAGTGAAACTGACACTGTAGAAGCACGTGAACCTGCTGAGCTGCCATCTAACTCGTTTCTGCGCTAAAGGTAAGCTTTTATTAAGCCATGTTTCAGGCTTCATATATTTATTTCTGTGTATGAGTGTTCTTAAGATTTGAATTAAAGGGGTTGGAAAATAAGGAATTTTATGCAGAGAAGAATATTAAATTAATTTTGCAACTGTAAAATAATGTACTGAAATGTATCAATTAAAATAGAATTGAATTTATAGCACTTGCTCTTATCTTTTCAAGTTGTTCAGCAATATTGATTATTTATTTAAAGGGATAGTTCACAAAAAATTTTAAATATATGGAAGTTAATTTGGTTACCGACATTCTTCAAAATATCTTCTTTTGTGTTCAGTTGAAGAAAGAAACTCATACAGGTTTGGAGCAGCATAAGGGTGAGTAAAAGATGATAGAATTATTTTTTTTGTATAATGTCTTACCCAAGTGTTTTGTTTTTTTAACCAAGTGTTAAAACTGTGAATTTATTTCTAGTGTAGTCTTTTACAGTGAGAGTTTCACACACCCTTAGAGCAGATAACATTGTGTGCTGTACTGTGTAATACAGGTCATATACCCTGTATGCATAATAAAGTCACAAACTTTATTAGTGTTATGATCATAGATATGAATTCTCTAGAGCTACATAAAAGACATTATGGTGTGTCAAAGTGCATATTGGTGTTACAATTACAAAAAGAACCAAGCATCCGATTAACAACTACATCAGAAAAAGGCTAGTGGGTTTATGTCGGTAAAAATGGACCTTGCTTTTACAGCCATTGAGATATGGTTCACTGATTACAGTTAAATTATTACAGCTCTTAAATATAATGTGAATTTGTGGGATCTGAAAACAAGTATGTCCTACAATACTGGTGATAGCTTTATTCTTCAACTGCAACTGCCCCTTTCTTCTATCCACAAAGAAAACCTGTTTGCTTTTAATTTTGCATGATATCACACAATATATACCATCACTGAAAGAAAAAAATGCTTTATCATCATCCACGTCATATTTACATTTACAACAGTGAGAGTGTTTTACAGTACGTAACAAATAATAAAGCAAAGTGTATTGACATAGTTCTTACTGATCTTTTCTTATAAGCTGGAATAAATTAAACCATTTCTACTAAATGTTAAAGAATTAAACATGATGAGATGAATTTCTTTTTTATTTTTATCTTTAAACAAACCGATGATTCATTGTCTTCCATTCATGCCGGACTTGATCCAACTAAAGAAGCTCAGTGTAACATCTGCTGTAATCTCATTCAACATCATCTGATCATTTAATATACTGTACACAGAAATACAGATAATTGCTGCTGGCTCTTTTAAATTCATGACCTTTTTACTATATTGTTTTTAATTGATTGTTCTACAATTGCTCTACCAAATTTTCCAAAGGATGCATATCAAGACACAAAATTTGCATTTTTTTAATTCTATTTTTAGGTGAAATGCAGTTTCATCAACACTTTTAAAAAACTTTTCATAATTAGCAATGCCTATACGTGACATGTCGCAAGATGGGAATGTCCTTGACACAGTGGGCGAGATTGACAGCTGTGACAGCATGGTCAGCTTCAACTCATGCTTTGTAAGACATACTTTTATTTTATGAATTTGAAGACATACTGTATATATAGTTATAAGATACATTGTTTTGATGCGTATATATCTAGAAGTTGTGGATGAAACATTGCTAAAGTGATAGTTGACCCAAAAATGAAAATTTACTCTCTCTTTTTCTGGGGAACACAAAAGAATATATTTTCTACAAGCTGGGGAGGTTTTTTTCTGTCCATACAATGAAAGTCAAAGGGGTTCAATGTTATTTTGGACACCACTGACTTTCATTGTTTAGACAAAAACAGTCACATCCTTCACAGATGAAATACAGGTTTGGGATGCATGACAGTGAATAAAATGAAAATTTCCATTTTGGGTGAACTATCCTTTTACTCATCACATATTAAACTCATCACAAATATTATGACCCAGTCACAAATTTCATGTGAGCAATTTTTGTTTCAGAGTGATGAAAGTCTGGAGTATCTCTCTGCTGAGGAGAAGGCTTGTCTCATGTACCTAGAGGAGACCATTCAGTCACTGGATACGGAGGATGACAGCGGCCTGTCTAATGACGAGTCTGAGGAGCTGCCAGCTCGAGGAAACGTGGCTAACAAAGCGGCCCACATCTCTGCGTCAATAGGACTCAACAGGGTCCCTAGTCAAGGTGCATTATACAGTAGCTCTTTTAGTATTTCTAACTCCTAACTATTTCTGATAACACACTAAAATACATTTCTTGATTGTAGATGTGCCCAAAAGCCAATTTGAAGGTCCATTGTCATCTAGCAGCTTGGTGCAAAATGAAATTCTGAATTTTATGGTCCCTACTCCATTTGTCCTTGCGAACCGTAACTCGCAAATTCAAACCAGACCTGGATTAGCTGCATCCCAGAAAAAGACGGCACCTAAAGTGGCTTCTGGAAGTGCCCAGCTCCATCAAGAAGCTCCACGAGTTCCCTCAGAGGTCAGTGTGGTTGTGAAACCACCTCTGCATAAAATCAAAGGCAGCAAAGATACAGCGGAAGAACAACAGAATAATGAGCAGCCAGAGAATGTGGCACGTAGAGGACCCCTTTCGTATGAGGCTCTGGTGAAGCTGCGCAAGAGTGCATCGATGCGGAAAACCAATGGAACTGAAGCCAAAACCGAAGGACAGCAGGTTTCTACAAATAACAATCTAGTGGGAGACACCTCTGGATCCCAAACTCTTACCCAGAACTCACAGGCTGTGACAAGTAGTGGCTCCAAGCCCACTCCTCCACCTGTGGCCCCTAAACCTAAAATGAAAACCACACACAATGTCCCAATGAACCAGGAAGATGCCTCCAACACTAAGATTGACTCAACCATGCCTTGCTCTGGGCTATTGACAGTAGATAAATTAATGAACCCAGAGAAAGTAAGAGTGGAGGCTCTTAGCAAGTTAGGTCTCCTCAAGGAGGACACACAGAACCCAGTCTGTCGACAACTAAAGCATTCCCAATCCCCTGCAAACTTGGAGCAAAACCAGACCACAAGCGAACGTCTTACTCCAAGTATGCCTGCAAGATCTGGAGGACGAATAAACCAGCCAATACAAAGTTGCAATCCTCTCCACCAGAAGTCCATGAGCGATCTTGCCACAGCTTCTTCACCTCCTCAACATGCTGATATGACTTCAACCGGGAAATCTGCCACACTGGAACTCCCTGGGATGGGACTGTCAGGTTCTAACATCACAGTCATAAATCAGGTTTCTAAGAATCAAAAGTCATGTTCCTCTGAAGCAGGGACCAAGAACCACCTTAAAGACACTCAAATAGATGCTAATGAATCGACACCCAGAAAAGATGCGTTGCACGTATCATCATCTCATTCCAAAAGCCTAAACGTGCCGGTTCCCAGCATCGGAAGGGATCGGAGAGAGGCATTACGAAAGCTTGGATTGCTGAAAAACTGAGATTTGTAGACTGTATACTCTCCGGTTTTTAAAGACAGCATGAAACGGTCATGAAACAGAAGTTGCGATTGTCTTGTCTTGTCTACTGTGAGTGAAACGGCTTCTCAAACAAGAAAAAAATGTTGGCTGGGACTTGATTTTGTCAATTGGGAATTGATTTGATCATTGTGGTTTGCTATTGCTGCGATCTCATGTTTGACAGGTGCTTTTAAAACATTGATCTGTTTTTTTGAACATCCCGACCAAAATAGCAACATCAGCTCAACCAATGTCGTGAGTTTTGGCGTTTGATGGACAAATGGTCCTTATTTTTGCAATTAATTGAAACAATTAGATTTCGTCTGCGAAATTTCGCAGAGCAATGATAAATGTGATCGCACCTTAACACCCAGATGACTTTGCTTTTTTTCAGCACTGAAGATTAAGATTATACAGTATGTTTACTTTTCCAGGTGAACTTTTAAGTATATTTAATTTCGAACTGGCTGTAAGTAGATTAGCCTTAAATTACTCTTTGGTCTTGCTATTGAAAGCAAGCTTCAAATCTGTCTATATGAATAAGCCTGTTTTACAAATCAGTTTATTTTATTTTGTAATAAAATGCAGTGTCTCCTGCACCAGAGACTCTTGAACACGAGGAACCCTGTCTCCCAAAGATCAGCTATCAGTCAAACTCCTCATTTTACACGCCGGTCAGTGAGATCTGACACAGCACTTCGGTGGATTAGTGCATTAACAGACTGGTGTTCATGTTACCTGGCCTCTCAGATTCATCTGTCATTAAAGTTCTTTATCTCGGAATGTGACCTAGTTCATGACTTACACTGAGAATGGTTCCTTCTGTTTGTATCGACTCAGTTAACAGTTGCCCTTTCACGGTTGCTTGTCTAATCAAAAACACACCATAACGCACACGGAAAGCAGCAATAAATTATGACAATGTTTAACCACTGAACATACATGAATTAAGCAATAATTTCAGCATAAAATGTCTCACTTGGTTTCAGTGTCTGGTTGCTGTGCTCTATGATCAGATAGCAGATATTATGCCTAAACTGTATCCATGTCCAAACAATGTGCTTTGCATAACCAACCATTTTAACCTTTCCAGGTGATATGCTTGGGGTTGATAGCAAAACCATGGTGAAAAATATAACTAGTTCAATACCAATGCAAATAGATCAATAAAAATACATGGAAAAGGAAAATACACTACAGTTGGTTGCACTTTATTTTACAGAACGTGAAAGTACTGGGTAATATAAGGTAACTACTTGGGGTTAGGGTTAGGGTAACCCTAACCCTAACTTGGTACTAGGTTTAGTACCTAGTTATTGTAATTACTATAATAAGTACATGTAGAATATAGATGGGGAACAGGACTGTAAAATAAAGTACAACCCTACTGTTAAATACATTGTTTTGTGCAGTGTGAACTTGAAAACCTATTGGTGTATTAAATGGTCCTCCGCTTGGCTTCAGTCTGATTGATAGTGCTTTTCACTGAGTGGTTTAATTACAGTGAATACTGTCTGCTGGGCACAGGTCACTATCACTATTGTGTTTTTAATCAAGGTTGAATCTACTTAATGTCAGAAAGAATGAGCAATTTACATATATGTAAAGCAATTATGTTAATATTTGTAGGATTTATCATACCTACTTGTTTTCAGTCTGGCTACAAGAGATGAATCACCAAAAGAAAATGAAAAAAGAAGGAATTTAAACAACACAAAGCAACATTTGCAACCCATTTTATATTGCTAATGAGATACATGTTAATATTGGCCTTAAGGCTTAATTTTATCCATTAAAAAGTCACTTCTATATAAGTGGCTTAGAAAAAGTACATGAGAAATACTATCTCAGAAACATCCCTAGTTATAAGACACTTTTGTTTGTGGGATAAATCTTAAAAAGATCAGTTTTTCAGGACAAAAATACTTATTTAATAACACAGACAGCAGCATGGGTTTTCAGTGCAAAATCAAAACACTGCAGCAAAAGGCATTATTTCTACTTCAGGTAGTATTAGTTAAAATTCCTATGTTTTATACAGTGCTTACATTCCATTATGTGACATTTAGAATTAAAAGAAGTTAGGTCACAAAATTACCTGCACTAATACAATAAAAATATGTCTATTTATGTACATATGAAATAAAATCAGATAATAGCAGCTTTAAAAGATATAAAGCTCTGGACTCTCTTAAATATACAAAAGATTTGTAGAGCCGTGTCCTGTCAGTTGCCCTCAGTTGGGATGAGTGACTTGCTCTTCTTGCGTTTTACTTTGCCGTGTGCAGGTGGGACTCCAAGGGACTCCAAACGGAAGGGCCGCGGAGGGAGAGAATCCACGGTTAGAGGAGACAAACTGGACCCACTGGAGGTCTGGTGGGCTGAACCATTACCGACTGAACCCGAATAATTCACTGAGACAAAATGATTAGAATTAGCAACATTTATAAGCATACAGCAGTTACATGAGAGAAACAAATGAACATGAATCTTCTGTAAAGTTAATATTACATCAATTTCTTACTTGTGTTTTTAATAGAGTCGCCGACCAAAAGCTGACTGGTCCGTTTTGGCTTGAAGTAGTTAGTGGCGATATGTTGGCTATCACTGCGTTTCAACATTTCCTTGTAGCGATCCTCCTCCAATTCTTGCTAAAAAGAGAGTCAGTTAGACATGAGTCAAAGCTATGGATGTTTTTCATATTCATAAGTAATGTTCTAGGGATATTAAACACTTTTCACACTAAACTTAACCCAGGGTTAACATCTTTTTTAAACCCAGGCTGCTTTTTATGGAAGCTTGTTTCCGCCACATAATGAAAAATAAAAAAGGTAATTGCGACTTTTTATCTCACAATTCTGACTTTTTTTCTCACAATTGCGAGTTTACATCTCGCAATAGGCTTTATGCACAGCTGCACTACTTCCTGAACTTCAGCCAGCCCTTTGTTTCCTGTCTGTCATTATTGGACAAACTGATTAGTTCAGGTGTGCCTGATTATTGTTACTGAGGCCAGGCACACCTGAATTAATCAGTTTGTCCAATAATGACAGACAGGAAACAAAGGGCTGGCTGAAGTTCAGGAAGTAGTGAAGCTGTGGCATAAAGCCAATTCTGACTTTATTTCTCAGAATTGCGAGATATAAAGTCAGAATTGCGTGATATAAAATCACAATTGCGTGTTATAAAGTCAGAATTGCGAGATATAAAGTCAGAATTTATTGATATAAAGTCGCAATTGCAGGTCATAAAGTCAGAATTGTGAGATATAAACTATTCTGAGGGGGAAAAAGTTAGTCTTTTTTTTCCCTTAGAATTGGACTGATAACTCGCTATTGCGAGTTTATATCTCACAATTCTGAGAAAAGATGTCAGAATTTCGAGACATAAACTCGCAATTATGTGTTATAAAGTCAGAATTGCGAGATGTAAACTGTCTTTTTTTCTCGCAATTGCGACTTCTCATAATTGCGACTTTGTTTCTCGCAATTGCGACTTTATTTCTCAGAATTGCGACTTTGTATCTCGCGACTTTATTTCTCACAATTCTGACTTCATATCTTGCAATTGTGGGATAAAAAGTCGCAATTTTTTTTATATATTTTTTTTATTCAGTGGCGGAAACAAGCTTCCATAGCTTTTAACCCTGGGTTAAGATTAAAAACATTTCAAACATATTTTATCATTTTTTTATGTGGGTTAAGACCACTTTTTAACCCTAGCATACGCTTTAGGGTATTTATGAGGTGCGTGCATATATATATATATATATATATATATAAATATGCAAATAATTAAGGTAACACAGGGTTGCTTTATTCCAGGTTTAAAATTATCAGCTAGCAAGTTCAAGTGTAAAAACACAAATATTGAACGTGGTACATGAATCTAGTATTGGGATATCTGATTCATTTTTAGTGTATCTGTGTGTAAATGTCAGAAGAAGTCATCTTTGAATAGTGTTAATTCACTGTCTGAATACCACAAAAGGGTCGGCAAGGTCTGAGGCTGAATTCCTGCGTGCTGAAAGTCTGCCAGGGGCAATGGCACCTGAAGGAGGCACTGCAGAGCAAGAAGAGAGAGAATAAAAAATAAAAAATAAAAAAAATAAAAAAGAAGAGAGAGAATATACTATATAGATACCTCTAAATCACACAAGCAACTGACTGAAAGTTTACATTTGCTTTTTTTCGTGCACCTGGCTGCACATTTCCTTTTTTGGACATGCACAATTTAAAAGCCTGTTTTCCATGATTCATTATTATCGTTAAAAAAAATAGATTTAGTTTTTAGATTCTGTGTTACTGGTCACTAATGATTTGTTTTGAATCAATGTCGGTGCAGAAAGAGCTCTTTTTTTAATCTTCTACGATCCCATTAGAAACTAACTAGTATATAAAAGTATTGGACTTTAATTTTGAAAATAGATTATACAAAGATCATCAAGATTCTCCGGAATTTCACACTGCAGTCTTTTTCTTTCCAGCACTTCACCTGCAGGTAAAGTGGTTTTCTGCACCACAACCTCTGGCAGTCTCCAGGTCCCTCCCTCTTCATCCCACACCGCTTCCTTCCGCAGCCGGTCCAGGTTGCTGTAGTTACAGTCCCTTCGCACCAGGGGCGCCACACGCTCCAAGATTCCTTGAAGGAGCTGGCCTTCCCGCTCTAGACGCCGGATGGTGGCCAGATAATCATCTCTCTCCATCTCAAACTCTGCCTGAAGATCCCTGATCTCCAACTTAGCAGCTTTCAACTGTTCGTTACATAAACAAATGGTTGGACATTTGAGATTGGTTCTAAAGTTTCTTCTCAATAGCAAAACTAGAAATATAATCTAGAAGTTAAGACAAAAACAATAAGCTTTTTATATGCTTTCTTTAAATTGTAGATCATAGATCCTGTACATTTGCTATTTCAAAACACAATATTTAGTATTGTAAAAAAGAATATATATATATATATATATATATATATATATACACTACCGTTCAAAAGTTTGGGGTCGGTACGATTTTAAATACTTTTAAAAGAATTCTCTTCTGCTAACCATGGCTGCGCTTATTTGATTAAAAATACAACAAAAATCAGTTATAGTATTCAATATTATTCCAGTGTAAATCAGCTGTTTTCTGTGTGAATATATAGTAAAGTGTAATTTATTCCTGTGATCAAAGCTGAATTTTCAGCATCACCAGTGTCAGTGTCTTCAGTGTCAAATGATCCTTCACAAATCAGTATAATATGAGGATTTGATGCTCAAGAAACATTTATTATTATTATCAATGTTGAAACAGTTGTTGGTCTGTCAGTTGTACAGTTTTTTTTTTTTTTTTTTGATTCTTTGATGAATTGGAAGTTCAAAAGAACAGCATTTGTTTAAAATAGAATCTTTTGTAACATTATAAATGTCTTTACTGTCCTTGATAAATAAAAGTATTGATTTCTTTCCTCCAAAAAATAAAAATAAAATTCTCACTGACCCCAAACTTTTGAACGATAGTGTATATATATATACAGTACTCTACTTCTGTGTATATTGTACTGCATAAATACTGTGTGTATATTTGTATATTTATATAGTGTACATTCTGTATTATGTGTATATTTGTATTTTGTGTACTGTATATTTATTTGTATATTTTTGTTTATTTATGTAATGTCATGCCTTGTAAGTGTACTGTTCGGAGCATGTACCAAAGACTTTCACCTATCACTACACTTCTGTGTTTTGGTAGTGTGACAGTAAAGGTGATTTGATTTGATTTGATATATAATATAAATAATACAAATCAATATGCAATTGCTACACCAAGACCAGCAAAATTTGTTTCCACAACTTTCATGTGACATAATTTCTGAACAACGACACGTTAAGTAACAGTGGAATGTTGAGTGAATACTAAATACTATCCGAGTACTAAAAGCTCTAACCTTCTTCTGTGTGTTCTCCAGGTGTCTGCTCTTGGCATGAACTTCCTCCTGGATGGAATCGTATACGTTCAGCAGAACGCTGTCGCTGTCCTCACTGCTCTGGCTCAGAGCTTCGATTAGCTGCTTCTTCCTCTGGTCAGCCAGAGTCTTCCTCTGTCTGAGTCTCTGCTTCAGTTCCTCGTTCCTCACCTGCTCTCCACCCACAAACTCCTGCTCCAGCTGCTGCAGCCTTTAGGCCAACAAAATATAACAGAGGCAGCATTTAAGTTTATTTTGGACCAAGCAAAATGCCACGAGGCGATATGTGCCCCCTCAGTTTCCATTTGTTTCATTTCCCTTAAGAATTCCCTCAAATTCATGTGTTGGCTTTGGTGTGGACACTAATATAGTTATCTTTATCATTCCTTATGTGAACAGGCCTTAACTCTATTTGAGTGTCACTGTATTACATCCAGAAAAAAAAAAAACATGCAACCAAATTACAAATAACCACAGCATTTGCTCCAATTCTTGACCCCAAATGGCTATCTGAGTATCTCACCTTTCTAAAACATGCTTCTGGTCCAGTTGATCTGGTGTTGCAACCATAACTGTAGCTGAAACCAAACTCTCGCCACTGGGAGCTCCTTTAACACTGGCAGCAGCAGAAGACGGACTCTCCTACACAAACAAGACTCATTTAGATTTGTGAGATTCAAAAACTCACTTGGCTGAATTATTGTTACTGTCATAAAATGTAAATTGTATTTTCAAACAGCTCTATACATAAGATTACATTATCTCTAACTTTATCCGCATAAATACACACACTCACAAATAGAGATATAATTTGCGACTAGAGCAAATTGCCTGATTTTTTATTTCGTTGCAAAATTTAACTATTATCGTCCAGCTCTTTATTTAAATTTGACTTGACTTTAACTTGTTTTAGGCAGAATCAAAGCACCTCGGGTACATCGTGGTCAACATTCGCCTGTTCTTGTGTGGCCACAGGTGCAGTGATGGGCTCTTCTTTAGGATGGTCCACACAAGGGCCACCTGTTTAAGGAGAGATACCAAGACAATTCGACCAGATCAAGACTATATAGAACCTAAAGCTGTACCGAAAGAAAACTAGTTTCAACATTACCAGTGGTGTGTGTTCGACTAGCTCTGGACCTCTCCAGAGAAGAGAGTCTGGTCTCGTATGATGTTCTCAAGGCAGCAATGTCCTCCTGGAGTTTGACTTTGGACTCTTGTTCGGCATCATACTCTGCCTGCAGCCTCGCTAGTTTCTTCTCATATTCCTAAATTTACATTTACATGTGCATTTATGAATTTGGCTGACACGTATCCAAAGCAACTTGCTTTCTGTGGGAATTGAACCCATGAACTTTGCAATGCTAGCGCCATGCTATACAGGACAAAAATTGCAAAGAATGGATGAGTTAGTGCTTAAAGGATTAGTTCACTTTAAAAAAAACTTTTGCTGATAATTTACCCACCCCCATGTCATCCAAGATGTCCATGTCTTTCTTTCTTCAGTCGAAAAGAAATTAAGGTTTTTGATGAACACATTCCAGGATTTTTCCCCATATAATGGACTTCAACGGGACCCAAACGGTTCAAGGTCCAAATGACAGTTTCAGTGCAGCTTCAAAGGGCTTTAAACGATACCAGATGATGAATCTTGCGAAACGATCGGTCATTTCAAAAATAAATAAAAAAGTTTAAGTCTTATAAGCACAAATGCTCGCCTTGCTCTGTTCTGTGATGCGCGTTCGTGACGTCACTTAATACACAATTACATTGAAAAGGTCTCACAGAACAGAGTCATCACAGAACAGAGCAAGGCGAGCATTTGTGCTTATAAAACTTTAACTTTTTTATTTATTTTTTAAATGACCGATCGTTTCGCTAGATAAGACCATTATTCATCATCTGGTATCGTTTAAAGCCCTTTGAAGCTGCACTGAAACTGTCATTTGGACCTTCAACCGTTTGGACCCCATTGAAATCCATTATATGGAGAAAAATCCTGGAATGTGTTCATCAAAAACCTTAATTTCTTTTCGACTGAAAAAAGAAAGACATGGACATCTTGGATGACATGGGGGTGAGTAAATTATCAGCAACAGTTTTTTTAAAAGTGAACTAATCCTTTAAGTATTTCTATTGACAATGAGAAAACCAATAAACACATTAAAATAGAAAGTTTCCTCAAAAATTCTTCATCTTTCGAGATGAAGGCCTCATCCTAGTGCAGAAACCACAACTTTAAGACTCTTCCATTGACTTTATATCAGTACACACCTCTTTTATACGGTCTTTTTCAGCTTCGCTCTCTGATGTGTTGCTCTGGGGTCGCGACAGAACAGCTGGAGGATCTCCTAAATTCTGACCTGCCAAAAGTGCTGTTAACAGACAAAAATAAGTCGAAATTGCGCTCTTTCACTATTCAAAGAGATTCAAATTTACACAAATGTTGTGTTTCTTACAACTGAGGTTGGCAGACCCCAGCTCCCCAGAGATTAACGCCCGCAACTTCTTGATTTCCTCCTGATACTCGCGCAGGAGGGCATCTTTTGGGTCCTCGTTGATGACCGGACGGTTTTGGATGCTCTTGGCACGGTTGGCGTAGCGTAGAGTACTGATGCTCTCTTCGTAATTGTTGTCGGCAGGTGAGAGACAGGCTACCATGAGGGTACGAGTGTTTCCGCCCAGAGAGTCTTGAAGCAAACGAGTGAGCTTGGAATCACGATACGGGATGTGCTTGGAACGACCGTCCACCAACGCAGATATAACATTGCCAAGGGCTGAAAGAGACAAGTTGATCTTGGTGGCTTCCTGAAGGCGATCTCCAGTAGCACCGGTTTTCGACTGCCGTTCACTTCCTGCAAGGTCCACGAGATTGAGCTTTCCAGCACGCAGATGTTCTTCACCTGCAGCATCTAAACTCATATGAAGATTACAGAGATGTTGCATATAGATTTATTCATGCAGAACTCAGTAAAAATGTGTGATTGAGACACAAACCTGTGTTGCAGGTCTCCAGGTGAATGGTGAATATGGAGTGTGAGCGAGATGAATCTTTGTTCATGAGTGTGAAGCCCACAGAGCGATTCCTCCAGCCCTGATCCATGATCCGCTCACATTCCCCAACGCTGTGCACCGTGTGCATGGACAGATCCCGTACATACACACCACGCTCAGGATGCTCCTTCAGCTAAAACACACACGGCATTGACACATTCAGTCCATTTTAGCTAATACACAATGGGCTTTGTGTGATCAGTGGAGAGACATACTTCCATCTTCTGTTTGGTGTCTTTTGCCAAAAGATCTCTGATTTCCTCCTTGTAAATTTCCAGGTAAGAGGCCCGTACAAGGAATTTTGTGTTCTCTGCACACTTAATAGAAAAGTTCAGGTTAAATGTCACTTAAAAACTTTATCACAATGAATATATAGTATTTCGGCTCTAAACATTTTACTGACCACAAACTTTTGAATGTTAGTGTTTTTATAATATTTTACTTTGTCAATCATATTGAATATTATATGTCACAGTGAATATTAGGTTTTATACTATGATGGCATCCTATCTATATAAAATCACATGATATGCAAATTGGTTACCTGGATTGTCTCAAAGATGTGCTCAAAAGATCTAGGGATGATTCCCCTCTGGGAAGGAGGATCTAGAACACCTTGCATAGTGAACGACTTGCCACTCCCTGTTTGTCCATAAGCAAAAATTGTCCCATTGTAGCCCTCAGTTACACCCTGTTTATAAAATAACGATATATTTGACACTGATTAGTACATGATGCAAAAACACAGACAGACAGATAGACGATAGATAGATAGACAGACAGACAGACACAGACAGATAGACAGACAGAGATACAGAGATAGAGTTAGACAGACAGATGATAGATAGATAGATAGATAGATAGATAGATAGATAGATAGATAGATAGATAGATAGATAGATAGATAGATAGATAGATTTAGAGTCTAAATCGCCCAACTTACACGTGCATCTAGTAAATAATCAATTATAGGAAGGGTTGTAGTTTACTTCCGTGACTAATTTAAACTCTATGGTGTTCTGTTTCAGATAAGGGACAACAGGTTTCAGATAACCCATATGAACACTGGAAAGTAATTGGCCCTAGAAGATCTAGCTGTCACACTGACCACCAATCACACACACACAAATCAATATTACCTCCACCAGAGGATATGCGATCTCGTTGTAGATCTGCTCAGTGGAATGGTTCATATAATAAGCCCCATCAAACGTGAATTGTTTGGGCGGCTCTTCCGAGGCTCCAGGTTTCTCAATGAAACACTGACAGTGACTGCTGTCAATGGAAACCACCATCTTACAGTTCAGCGCCTTCTCTCTGTCGTTCAGTGGTCGACATCTGACCACCACCTTCACGGATTCAGATGCCATCTGGACGGATGCTTATCTGCTGAACAGAAATGGGCATTTTACTCTAAAGATCATACTACAGGGTGTTAGCCTATGGTCATCTCATGAAGACAAGCAGTTCTTCTGTTATTAGGAAAGACGCTTACGAACACTGTCATCCGGTCCAGGTTCCGTCGGTTAAGACCCGTTTGAGGTCAGGCTGCGGTTCGTGACATTAAATAAAGCAGCGTGTTTCTCTTGCTGAGGCTTTCAGCGTTGCCTAGCAACTCCAAACTTCAAAGCGCCCCCAATGACATGCGTACCGCTGAATATTGTTTTTTTTTTTATTTTCATAAAGGATAACAAATAAAGCCGGCATGTATTAATAAATATGTTCGTGTATTTTGTGATAAAATAAATGTTTTTAAACCAGTAAGACCATTATTTTAATAAATATTTATACTTTAGTAGTATACTTTAACATACCATTCCATCAGAACATTCCACCCACCCCATTAAAACTAAACTAAAACTATTAATAAACTAAAACCATAAACTACAAGATGTCGTTAGATAACTAATATTATCATACAACGTTACAAGTTATTAATAGGCTTCACAGTAATGATCATGTCAATGCAAATAACTAACTTATTTTTACTACACTGAGAGTGTTGTGTGTGTATATATATATATATATATATATAGTGTATGTGTATATATATATAAACACACAAACACACACACACACACACACACACACACACACACACACACACACACACACACACACACACACACATACATACATACATATATATAGTATATGTGTGTGTGTGTGTGTGTGTGTATACATTAAATATATATACACACACACTATCTACTCGTATTTCATTTTGTAACATATCTGGTAAAACAAGCTGTTCACAGTCCATTTCGAGAATGAATGGCGATCGCACTCGCAGCGGGCGGCGGCTCGACCGGAAGTATCGCTGCCCTACTTCCGGTCTCGGTCGTCATTTTGTGAAATAGGCCTATCGCAAAACAACTTTTAAAAACATAAATCAAGCATTCATCCATCCAAACGAATTCGTTTAAAACGTTTATATGAACATGTATACACAACGATCTATAACGTACGATAAAAAGGTTTTCATTTGAAAAGTGGTTACCGTCGTTGTGAATTACAAGCGCGTACTGCTCTATATAAATTGTGGGAACCCACAGCAGCTATGTGTTGTGTGAAAGGACAAGTATGGATAAAGGCACATACAGACACGGGCGTGTTAAGTTAGAGGCATGCCAAGCACTTCGTGGCATGATCACGAAGTGAAAGTCTTTCCTGGCAACTTAACCAACTCCTTTTTTCATTATGTTATCACCACATTTTTATTTTTCCACCACATAGTGCATGACGCAGAACTCAAACTCAAAACCACTCCGTTTTAAAATTGACACATTTATTACACTTTTCGAGAAAGTGTGCTTACGAGAAACGTAAGCATATTCACGGCCTTCGTGTTGTTGACACGAAAAATGAGCCATAATCTGCTGGAAGATTGCTGCAATCTCCTAGACAAAAAAGCCACTACGTTTCACTCACTCGGACATCGTTTTATTTAATTAGTTTATTTATTTTGTTTAGATGTATTAAGTGTGAGCTTAGTCATCAAGTTTAATGGCATTTGAATGAATAGAACTTTTTTTTATTTAGGCAAAATTTATGACCTTTGTCCAATTTCGATCTTTTCACAGCTACCTGAAAAACTAGCAACAAAACGGACAACATCTGCTATTCTTACTTTTGTCAGATATATGAATGACTGAGAGAGAAAACCATATAGAGGGGTGGGGGCTGGTTGTACGTTTGTGGTTGTACATTTTTGTTGTACCCTGCTACATTTTTTTTGTGATTTTAATATGCAAATTACAAATTTCTGAGCGTGACTTAACAAAAATCAGCATAGCCTTATCAAAAGTCTTTTTCTGCCAACCAGGAAGTTTGTTTCTTACACATGCACTGTATCATAAGTCAGGGCAGAGCACTCGGCTAACATAAGCCTAAGGTTACATGGATATTCCACCATTTGGGGAATTAAGCTCATTTTCCACCCCCCCTCGAGTAAAACAATTGTTCTTTTACCGTTTAGGAAACCATTCAGCCGATCTCCAGGTCTGGGAATACCACTTTTACCATAGCTTAACGTAATTCATAGTATGACAACAATACTAGGGGTGGAACGGTAACACAGAAGTCACAGTTCAGTTCAGACATCACGGTTCGGTACGATTTCGGTAAAATATGAAGTGAAAAGCAAAACAGAAATATAGAAGGCATTTTTATGTCTTGTATGTTTTAAATAAGTTTTATTAATAAAGACATAGAAACAGTTTATGTATAGTGCACTGATAATAGTTTTATATAATTAGTTTATTAATTAAACTAATAAAAAGATTAAAAAAAAAAAACCTTTGAGATAACTTTGGTAATTGTACCTGAATTAATTTAAAATTAATTTGCTATTTTTCAGATCAATATATTTGTTTTCCTTAATTTTAATTAACCCTAACTTTATTCTCATCAGAATTATAAATAATTGATTTAGTATAAAATAATAATACTACCAACACATTTGATTCTTTTTTAATCAATGTGTAACTTAAAAATAAACAGATTAGTGCTCTGTTTTGAGGACAAGAAATGAAAACCAATGCGATATGATGAAAGTCCAAAAGATGGCACTCTATAACGGCCACCTACTGTTAAGTAGTGTTCATGACATGTTGATATGCCTTTAAGATGACTTCTTCTATGGCGGACGTATGCGTGCTGTTCTTTTGTGAGCGCGCAAACTCCGTGAGAATGCTCGCGCAAAGAGGAAGATGACCCCTCTATCGCTGGCTGTTGTTTTATTATAATGCGTTTACTTCCACTTTGATTTGTAGCGTTTTACAGAATGTTTTCTTTAACCTGTTAACATCCGCTCGGCGCTCTTTCGACATGTATGTGAAGAGTGTGCGCACACACACACACACACACAGTTCGATCGTAAATGACCCAAATTGACCAAGAAAACGGCGATTGTCGTCGAAAAGCGACAAGTTTGCAGGTATGCGGGTTAGATGGCAGTATTCTACTAGTTTTTGAACATTAAAAGGAGACAAAATGACAGTAAAATCAGTTTATGCAAAGAGGCAAGAAATTTACATTGATGCAAAGCTGATAACAAAAGTGTGCATTTAAGAGGTGAAATGTGCAAGAGGTAAACATTATTAAAGCAGAAAAAAAAAAAAAAGCATTAACTGGGTTGTGGATATTTTCAGGGTTTGAGGTAATCACAAAAATGTTATCTAAAACTAGTGATAATATACAACCATGAGAGTGAAAAAGGCAAGCAATGTACACGCATACAACACATAATTTAAAGACATAATACAGGGTGCATGCATACTAGGTATGCATCTTTGCAAAAGTTGTTTTAAATTTGACATTTACATGAAAAACATGAGTGCTTGTTTCCCTAGAAAATAAATTTAAACCAAAAAACAACAACAAAGTGAGTGCTTTAGAAGGGTTGAGGTTATTGCCAACAGGCAAAAACAATGTGTCCATTCAAAATATATATATATATATATAAAAACAATTGTGCCAATGTCGACTTAAGATCCTGGTAAGGGAGGTTTACTCATGTCAGTAGCTCTAACTGTTAAAATTAAGTAAAATTTGTAGTATACATTTAAAAAAAAAAAAGATTATATATATAAAAAAAATAACTAAAGAGCATGAAAGACAGGATTCAAACCCAACTTTGGTTTTTAAATGTGCCTTTTTTGTTGTCCTGTTGTAAACGTGAACTCTTATTGACCATCTCTTCCCAATCGTAACTGTGGTTGACACGGGCACAGCTCAGAAAACATTCCAGCTCCTCACTGAACTCTGTGTAGTGCTCGATCAAACCAGCAAGGCTTTCAAATTCAATGTGGCACTTCTGTAAATGAAGATGAAACATTTGCTACATTTGACTTCTGACACTAGTTATAGAGTAGAGGAAGGAAAACAAAAACAGGTTTCATCTTTGCTCACCTCAAGGCGGAACTTCCCCTTGGAATTCTTAATAGAATGAGTTACCAGTCCCGATGGAAAGCGGACTGTAAGAGACCCACGGTTGGGCTTTTTGGGATGAGGACAAAGGAGGAAGGAACCCAAGACATCATCTGCCAGGAGTGAGGAACTACAGTTGCTGTAATGGAAACCAAATACTCAACACTAAACAATACATGTACCAGATTAAAACTAAAGCCATGTAAATTATTTTCTTTGGGCCTGGTTTCACAGACAGGGCTTAGATTAAGCCAGGATTAAGCCTTAGTTAAATTGGGGGGGACAATACTGGTGAGAATCTTGAGACAAAATCAATGGCACTGACATATTTTAAGATATGTCAGTGCAAGTTGCTTTCAGTTAAAACAGCTCAAACATGCATTTTAGTCTGGGTCTACGTTTAAGCATTGTCTGTGAAACCGGGCATTGATGTACTACCTTGCTTATTTTTATATGTTGTGAAAATATAAATTCCCCCAAATCAGCTCAAAAAAAAAAAAAAAAAATGCAGTGAAGCCCAGCGGATTCAATTTTAGCCTAAATCACAATCATGCAATTATTCATGTCTGGAGAAAAATGCAAAAATTGATATTAAGAGGTACTGCTTTAAAAAAAAAGAATAAATCATTAACATTTTTGTGATTGTAACTTTTATAGGGATAGTTCACCCAAAAATTTAAATTCTCATTTACTCATCCTCATGTTGTTCAAATCCTGTGTGAAATTCTTTCTTCTGCTGAACATAAAGGAAGATAGTTTGAAGAATATGGGTAATCAAACAGTTGATGGACCCCATTGACTTCCATAGTATGGAAAAACAAAATACTATGGAAGTCAATGGCTACCGTCCACTGTCTGGTTACCAACATTCTTCAAAATATCTTCTTTTGTGTTCAGCAGAAGAAAGAAACTCATACAGGTTTGGAACAACTTAAGGGTGAGTAAATGACAATTTTCATTTTTAGGTGAACTATCCCTTTAAGTTTACCAGAGC